CGGGAAAAGCCCCGGACACCATCCCGGGAAAAGCCCACGGCCGCAGGAGCTCTCGGGGCTTTGTGCCCCTGCGGGCAGCACGGGCGGGCTCGGGCACTGCCCGCTCCCGGAGCTGCGGATCCCCGGCTCCACCAAGAGCAGGAAGGAGCTGCAGGAGCTGCAGCCGAGAGGGAAAAGGCAGAAACAATTTCCAGCTTCCTGCAGATGGCAACCGGTACGATCTGGCTGACAAACACAGATGAGCAAGAGTGAGGGAGGGATAAATAAACCCCGCGGCTCGCGGAGTGAAGCAACCTGCTGGCGTTTGCTGCAGAAAATTCCCACTCGGCCAGGGCCAGCTGCCCATCCCGGTGCCGGGGTGCGGCAGGACCGTGGCACCCCGGGGACACCGCCAGGGCACCGGGCACACGCGTCCGCCCACCCGCTGCCCGGGCGCCCTCGGGGCCGGCGAACCCAGGAGCAGCCGAGGCAGCAAACCCAACCCGAGTCACTGCATCAGAGACGGGGGAAAGCCTCATGCAAATGTTTTCCATTCCAAAATTATTTTCGTTCCTTAAGCTGGTGAAGCCCCAAGTCTTCCATGAGGACTTGCTTTTTTTTTTTTTTTTTTTTTTTTAACAATTTTTTTTTTTTTTTTTTTTTTTTTTTTAATGAAACTTTTTCTAAATATTTCTGGAAATTCGTGGCAGGTAGGTTACCCTCTGCCTGCAGTATTTTTTCAGTTTTTCCTGCCGCTGAGGAGCGGGAGGGAGGAGCGGAAGGGACCCGACGCGCTCTGGCGCTGGGGAGGGCGAGCAGGGGGACACCAGGGGACAGCGGGCACGGCTCCGGCACTCCCGGCCCGCAGCTGGAATAATCCGCCGTGGGAAATCAGCCGAGATAACGGCGCTGAGCAGCCGAGCCCCGCCCGGCGCTCCCGGGCTCTGCGCTCCGACCCGGGCCCCGGGGCCGGGACGTGCCGGGGCAGCCGGGCTGGGGCTCCCGGGGAGGGGCACGGCCCCAGCCGGCCCCGGTTTGCTGCCAGCAGGGATTTAAGCGGCCAGGGCGGGCTCCCGGCCAGGCTGGACAAGCTGGGGGTGGCCGAAGGCCAAAGGCAGGGCAGGAACATCCATCTGGGATTTCCACATCCCGGGGCTCCCGAAGAAACGAGCACCGGCACATCCCTGCCCAGAGCTGGGCCCGATGGGATCCGTGAGTGCGGAGCAGCAGAAAGCGGCTGGGAGGAAAGGATTACTGGCTCGGCTGGGAGGAAAACCCTCCCAGGCACAGCTTAATGAAGAAATCATTGTGCAGGGATCAGCCCCGCGCCGTTAATGAGCCTCGTTGTTATTTAAATGAGGCTCCTGGAAGGGCTGGGTGAAGAATTCATTATGAGATGATTTTTCTGAGCAGTGTGATGAATGATGGGTACAAAAGCAGCCATCCCTCGGGAGAAGGAAGCTGCAGAGAAATGCAGCTCCTGGGCTAGAGCAGCTGGGGTTTGCCATGGCACAAGCAGAATTGTGCAGCCCGGAGGGGGCCTTGGTGCCTCTGATTTTCTCCTGCTTCCCCTTGGCTCTGCCTCCGGAGCTGGCCTGTGCCACCAGGCTGCTCCAAGGCCTGTCCGACCATCGGACAATTCCAGCTGGACACTGCCAGGGATCCAGAGGCAGCCGCAGCTGCTCTGGGCACCTGTGCCAGGGCCTGCCCACCCTCCCAGCAGGAATTCCTCCCAATCTCCCATCCAGCCCTGCCCTCTGGCAGTGGGAGCCATTCCCTGTGCCCTGTCCCTCCAGCCCTTGTCCCCAGCCCCTCTGCAGCTCTCCTGGAAATCCCTCAGGCCCTGGCAGGGCCCTGAGGTGTCCCTGGAGCTTTCCCTTCATCTTGCACCAGCTCGAGCCCATCGCTCAGCAGCAGCTCGGCCTTGTTGCTGCTGCGTTTGAGTCTTTTGAATCCAGCATAAAAATGTAATGCTGTCCTTGGCTCTGTGCTGTTGCCTGGCTGCCCCAGGCCCGCAGCTCCCCTGTGCACCTGGTGAGAGGTGTGGAGGTGGCAGTGCCACTCTGGCCCTGCCACCGCCCTGCCCCGCCGCGCACCAACCCGGTGTGGAGCACAGGGGGAAATCAAAAAGTCGGATCAATAGCAAGGAATAATCACAACTTCCTGTAGAGTTAGAGGACACGGAAGCCAATAATTGATCAGATGGTTTGGGAACCAAGCAACAACACCCCAAGGATTTCACCACAAACTTTGCTTAACCAACTGTGCGGGAAGGCGGTTTGATGTGGGCCGTTTCTGGGTACATAAAACAGAATTAATTTGTTCTCCCTGCAAGCCAGCAGCCAGGAATATGAAATATTTAAATAGCCTAAGCATGTTTGGCATGTGCCGAGCCATGCGAGCACCCCGAGGCCGGCTCTGGGTAGGTGTGGTGGCCGTGCCCCTCCTGTGCAGCCCCGGGCAGGAGCGGCCCGGCTGCCCATCCCAGCGCCCCAGCTGGGCACGCGATGGAGAAACGCCCGTGGCTGGGAGGAGCGAGGATGTGTCACACACAGCCCCAGGCACGGCAGCTCCGCCCGGGGGGGTTTCACTGCTCCGGCACGGCCCTGCTGCCCCTCACAGCCTGGGAGCCGCACCCCAGGCCACCCCCGCACCCTGGGGTCCCGGGAAAGCGGTGAGCCCGGCTGGGGGGATGGAGGGAGCCCTGTTTAACCCCTTCCTGCTGCCCCTCAGCTGCTCCTGCCCGGCGAGAGCAGCGTGTGCCAGCTCCCTGCCGCATCCCTGTGCTCAGGGCAGTCCCGTGCTCGCTTTGCCCGGCTTTCCTCCTCTCTGCCCAACAGCCCCGCGTTCTCTGCCCGCCGTGTTTGCCCTCCTCCCGGGGGCAGAGGTGCTCGGGGGCCACGGGCAGCTGGAGCGCTCCGTGCCCCGGCAGCGCTGTCACCTCGGCAGTGTCCCGATGTCCCCAGCCACAGCCCCGGCCGAGTCCCGCCTGTCACATCCCGGCGTCCCGGAGCAGCCGGACATTCCCCACCCGCACTGCCGGCCACGGCGGGGCTGCAGGAGGGCAGCAAAGGAAACGATGGATTTCCACATCCAGGACGGGAGCAGGGGCTGCTCCAGCCGGGCGCCGCTGTCCCCGTGTCCCTCCTGCTGTCCCCGTGTCCCTGTGGCTGTCCCCGTGTCCCTGCGGCTGTCCCCGTGTCCCTGCGGCTGTGCCCGTGTCCCTGCGGCTGTGCCCGTGTCCCTGCGGCTGTGCCCGTGTCCCTGCGGCTGTCCCCGTGTCCCTGTGTCTGTCCCCGTGTCCCTGCTGCTGTCCCCGTGTCCCTGCGGCTGTGCCCGTGTCCCTGTGTCTGTCCCCGTGTCCCTGTGTCTGTCCCCGTGTCCCTGCTGCTGTCCCCGTGTCCCTGCGGCTGTCCCCGTGTCCCTGCGGCTGTGCCCTCGCTGCGGCCACTCCGGAGCTTTCTGTAGCTCCGGCACCACCGACATTTGGGTTTTTTCTCGCCCAGCGGCGGCTGTGGAGGATCTCCTGCCGCGGGGCGTGGGCAGCCGGGTCTCTCCTCACACGAACGCAGCATCTCTCCCCGCTCCATCCTCGCCGCACGGAGGACGTGGAGCACGCGAAAACTGTGAAAGCAGAAAGGGAAAAGCCAGAGAAGCTGATGGCACCTCGGTGCCTGTCACCCCGCCCGTCCCCAGTGTCCCCACGGAACCCGGGGCAGTCCCCCTGCGGCTCCAGCTGCGGCTCCAGCTGCGGTTCTGCCCCCGGGCCCTTTGTCCCGTGGGGTTTGGGGGTTTGACCGCGGCTGTGCTGCCCCCGGGGACCCCCGAGCAGCCTCTGAGCGGGGGCTGGAGGAGCGACTGCAGTGAGCAGCGACAAGGTCCCCCAGGGTTCGGAGGGACCAGGATTTTCTGCCTAAGGAAATCCCTGTCCCTGCTCCAGGATCCCTGTCCCTGCTCCAGGATCCCTGCTCCAGGATCCCTGTCCCTGCTCCAGGATCCCTGTCCCTGTTCCAGGATCCCTGTCCCTGCTCCAGGATCCCTGTTCCTACTCCAGGATCCCTGCTCCAGGATCCCTGTCCCTGCTCCAGGATCCCTGCTCCAGGATCCCTGTCCCTGCTCCAGGATCCCTGCTCCAGGATCCCTGCTCCAGGATCCCTGTCCCTGCTCCAGGATCCCTGCTCCAGGATCCCTGTTCCAGGATCCCTGTCCCTGCTCCAGGATCCCTGTTCCAGGATCCCTGTCCCTGCTCCAGGATCCCTGCTCCAGGGTCCCTGTCCCTGCTCCAGGATCCCTGTCCCTGCTCCAGGATCCCTGTTCCAGGATCCCTGTCCCTGCTCCAGGATCCCTGTCCCTGCTCCAGGATCCCTGCTCCAGGATCCCTGTCCCTGCTCCAGGATCCCTGTTCCAGGATCCCTGTCCCTGCTCCAGGATCCCTGCTCCAGGATCCCTGCTCCAGGATCCCTCCTGGCACGCTGGGTGAGGGCAAGAGGACAAACGGATGTTGAGGCTGCCGAGTGCTGCTCAGGCACCTTTATATCTAATTAGAGCTGGACTTTTCCTCCACCTGTTTCCTGTGGCGGATTTGGGTCCCGAAGAAAAAAGAGATTAAAAAAAAGAGAGAAATCTGTTCTCCAGCTTTTCTGAACTCCTCAGAGGGGGCCGGTGCGGGCAGCAGGGCAGCAGCATCCCCGCACCAGCGCGGGCTGGAGGCGGCAGCGCCGGCAGGGTGCTCCAGGAGCGCAGCTCCCGCACGCCTGGGGCAGGGCTTTCCTAGGAAACGGGGAGAATTCCGCTTGGCTTTGGGATTGTGACTCTGCTGGGATTTGGGCTGGCTGTGGGGTGGGGTGAGGCCGAGGGCTGGAGCTGTCCAGCACAGCGCATCCCGCCGTGTGCCCGAGCCCCTGAGCCCGGGGTTCGGG